GCCAAAGCTAGGAGCCAGGAGCTTCCTCTAGGTCTCCCATGTGGGTGGCAGGGGCCCAAGGGCTTGGGCCATCTTCCACTGCTTTCCCGGTTGAATCATAAGGGAGCTGAATCGGAAGTGCAGCAGCCAGGACTGCGCCCATGTGGGATGCTGGCACTGCAGGCCAGCTTAACTCACTATGCCACAGTGCCGGCACCTATACAGCCTTAAAAATGAAACATATTGGGGTAAAGGCACCGCCCGTGGTGTTGGCATCCCATAAGGGCACTGGTTTGAGTCTTGGCTTTTCCAATCCCGATCCAGATCCCTGATAATGCACTTGGGAAAGCAAAGGATGGCCCAAGGCTTTGGGCCCCTGCACCCAGTTGGGACACTCGGAAGAAGCTCCTGGATCCTGGCTTTAGATCAGCCCAGCTGTGGCCGTTGGGGCCATTTGGGGAGTGAACCAGCTGATGGAAGACCTGTCTCTCTCTCTCTCTCTCTCTCTCTCTGTAACTCTGCCTTTCAAATAAATAAATGAATCTTTAAAAAATGAAATATCTATATGTCCACTTACAGTTGGAGAAATGAAAACATAGGTACTGATGTTCATAGCAGCATTTATTCATAATTGCCAAACGTTGGATGTGATCTTAGTCCATTAAGTGGTGAGTGGGTAAGCAAAATGGGGAATCTCTACAGAGAGCAATAGTACTCAGCAATAAAGGAACACTAGCATGATGAACCATGAGTGTGTCACACTAAGAGACAGAAGTCAGAGGGGGCGAGCACGCAGCATGGCTGTCGGCTAAGCACGGCCATGTCCCATGTGATGATGCCTGGGTCGGAGCCCTGCTCTGCTCCCGATCCAGCTTCCTGCCGCACAGCCTGGGATGCAGCACAAGTACTCAGGTCTCTGCGCCCCACGTTTGAGACTCAGAGAGAGTTCCTGGCTCCCAGTTCAGTCTGACCCTCCCCAGGCATTGCAGGCACGTGAGGGATGCACCAGTGGATGGCGGTGCTGTCTCTCTGTGCTTCAAATATGTTTTAAAATATTTTTTAAAGATTTTATTTATTTATTTGACATGTAGAGCTACAGACAGTGAGAAAGGTCTTCCTTCTGTTGGTTTACCCCCTAAATGGCCGCTACGGCCGGAGCTACACTGATCTGAAGCCAGGAGCCAGGAGCCTCTTCCTGTTCTCCCATGGGGGTGCAGGGGCCCAAGCACTTGGGCCATCTTCTAAAATATTTTTTTAAAATAGGAGCAGACAGGAAAAAAGGACAGAGTCTGTGTCCAGATGGAAGGTGGCAAGGACACATCTATGGAGCCAGAGAGCAGATGAGTGGTTGCTGGTGACCGGAGGCGAGATTGGAAAGGACTGAGAATGACCACGAGGAATCCTTTTTGGGGCAAAGCAATTCTTCTAGAACTGGGTGGTTGTGACAGTTGCATAGCTATTCAATTTGCTAGAATTAATTGAATTGGACACTTGAAATGAGTGAATTTTATGGCATGTAAATTGTACTTCAATAAAGCTGTTAAAAAATCTGTGTGAACTCGTATGGAAAGATGGTCAAAGTGAGAAAAGCTGGTGGCACAAACAGTGAGCACAAAAATAGCCATGCAAAGGGCTCATTGCTGTCAGGGTGGCCAAGCTGCAGGCAACAGCGTGGCTCCCGAGGAGGCGGCCTGCGAGAGCGGGGGTGGGAGGAAAATTTTTTCGTTGTATATATCCAAAGTACAGCATGGAACTTTTATATATGTACATATACATAAGTTATTTTTTTTTTGAAAGGCAGAGAAATAAAGAGAGAGAGAGCTCTCCCAGCCTCTGGCTCACTCCCTAAATGCCTGCAACAAGCAGGCTTGGGCCAGGTTGAAGCCAGGACCCAGAATTCAAGCCGGGTCTCCTTTGTGGGTGGCAGGAACCCAAGTACTTGAGCCAGCGCTGTTGCTGCTCAGGGTGGGCATTAGCAAGAAGCCGGAATGCAGAGTGGAGCTGGACCCACACGCAGGTACCCTCATGTGGGATGCCGGCGCCCAGAGGTGGCCTAACCACTGATCCAAACACCTGTCCCAGAAATCTTTTTTTTTAATCCATCTATTAATTTTTCAATTTAAAAACAAATGTAGGGGGGCCCTGCGCTGTGGCGTAGTGGGCTTAGCCTCTGCCTGCAGTGCCGGCATCCCATCTGGGTGCCAGTTCTTGTCCCAGCTGCTCCTCTTCCCATCCAGCTCTATGCTATGGCCTGGGAAAGCAGAAGATGGTCCAAGTGCTTGGGCCCCTGCATCCAGTGGGAGACCTGGAAGAAGCTCCAGGCTCCTAGCTTTGGATCAGCACAACTCCAGCCACTGCGGCCAACTGGGGAGTGAACCAGTGGATGGAAGACCTCTTTCTTTCTCTCTGCCTCTCCTCTCTTTGTATAACTCTGACTTTCAAATAAATAAATAAAATATTAAAAAAATATAGAGGCCAGCAATTTGCCGCAGCGGGTTGAGCTGCCCCCTGCAACAATGGTTCCAGTCCCAGCTTCCACTTCCGATCCAGCTCCCGGCAAATGGAGTGGAAGATGGCCCCAGTTTTTGGGCCCCTGCACTCATGTGGGAGACCCAGATGGAGTTCCTGGCTCTCGGCTTCCTTGCGGCCATTGGGGAGTGAAGCAGCAGATGGAAGATCTTTCTCTGTCTCTCCTTTCTCTGTAACTCTTTCAAATAAATAAATATCTAAAAAAAAAAACCCTAAAAATGAAAATATATATATGCATATTTAACAGAAAGAGGAGGATATAATACAACTTTTTTTTTTAGTTGTTTGGACTTGTCCCATTTTTCTACAATAAATATGTGCTGCTTTTTAAAAGTTTGTAAAATAATAATATGGAAATAATGACCTTGTTTTGCCAGCTCGGGGGGGGAGGTTTGTGAGGGTCATACTGTGTGTGGGAATTTAAGTGAGACTTGCACTCCTGGGGGAAGGTAGCCTGGTCACAGCATGGGATCGGGGCTTTTCCTGGGCCACGGGAGAGGAGGGAGGGGGTAAATTCTACTCAGTAATGGACTCCAACTATTTATTTATTTACTTAGGGCCCTAATGGTTTGGAGTTACTGTATTTCAGTGAGTAGGAGATGCCATCAAATGTAAAATTAGCCATTATTTGAGGCTTTAACTAGGCAAGAAAAATTGTCAGATTATGATACACCTTGATTATACATCTGGATTTCTTAGATGCTGAATCTGAAACATGTTTCTATGGAATGAAATGAAACAGAGGGCTGTAGCTTCACTTTTTTCCCCAACACTCTGCCTTCCTTCCGCTAAACACTGCTCCGGCCCCAGTGCTGTGCCTTCCACCCGGCTGTTGCCTGCCTGGGAATCTCTCACTGGGACCACTAGCCCTGCCTCCTAACTGTCTAGTGCCTCCAACCCATTATTCATGCTGCAGCCGGAGCGCTCTTTCCTACACTCCGGTCTCACACCCCTGCTTGCATATGGGCCCTGAGGGCGAGGTCTGTTTAACTTGGCATTGGGTTCTCAGGACCTGAGCCCTGCCTGCCATTTTCCTCTCTTGGCACTTCCTCCAAACGAAATAACTTGCTGCTTCCCCAAAGCAACGTATGTTTTCAGACCCTCAGGCCTTTGTACCAGCTGGCTTCTACGCTTGGACTGCTCTTCCTCAACAAATATTTTTGAACATGCAGTAAGTGCCAGGAGCCCAGACCGGGTGAGCAAGGCAGGCTCGATCCTCAGAGGGGCTGGTGGGAGAGAGAAAATAAATGCAAACATGATGATTTGTTGGCAGCACACACACGATGGACATTCTGCAAATGTTTGCGGAAAATGTCAACCGTGGCCTCAGGAAGTTTAGGACTTGGGGTAGGGGGTTGGGCAGGAGTTAAGAGGCCCATATCCCATACCCCAGCGCCTGGGTTCAAGTGCCGGCTCTGCGTCCAATTCCAGCTTCCTGCAGGTGATGGCCAGAGTACTCAGGTCTCTGTCACCCACGTAGGACATCCAGGGGTCTGGCTTGGGCTTGGCCCACTTTCTGCTACGATCAGCTTTTGGGGAATGAACCAGATGGAAGCTCTCTGTGTGTTTCTCTCTTTCAAATTTACACATACATAATGTAAAAAAGAAAGTTTAGGCCAGCACTGGGCCTGGGAGGCGGCGTCGAGAGGCTGAGAAGAGACTCCCTACGGGGGCTGGAACTGGCTGTGTCCGAGAAGCAACGCCCGCCCAGAGGATCTCGGGCAGGAATAAAGAGAGAAAGAAAGAAATCACTCTTCCATCAGCGGGGTTCACTCCCCAAATGGCCCCAACGGGGCGGCCCACCCGGGGCGGCTCGGGCGCGACGCGGTGCACGCGTACCTGCCCGGACCGTCCGGCGGCGGCGGAGGCCTCCACACCAAGCGCGGGCGGGACAGACGGGCGCAGCGCAGTCCTGGGTGCTCCGCCCCCTCTCCCCACTTTGGGGGCCAACCCCCCTGGCTCGCGCCCGCCCCCGCCCCTGAATCATGGTGGGCGGGGCCGTGACCCATTCATGCTGGGAATCGGATCCAGATGTTCCCGCGGCGCGTGCAGCTGCATCCTTGCCTTTTTTGGCAAAAAAACGTGCGGCCGCGAGCAGATCCCGGGCCGCCCCCGCTAATCTTCGGGAAGAAGGGGAAGGGGGTTGAGGGTCTGGGCCCAGACTGGGGCTCAGGACCGAGTGCAGGCTCCGCGGGATTTGGGCAGGGCAGTTAGGAGAGAGGCCGGCTTGTACCGGGGGAGGGCGCCCCGCCGCCAGCCCCGCTCCTGCCTGGAACCTCCCCGTCGCCGCCCTTCCCCACGGGAGAGAAGCAGCCTTCGGCCAGCAGGAGGGGAGGCAGGGCGAGCTTGCCGGAACGGTAGCTTCGGCAGGGATCCCGTTCCGGGGGGCAGACTCCTACCCTGTGGCACTCGTAGCCCTGGGCCTCTGCCCGGGGACACGGAAAGTCTAGAAGAGCCGCAAAGGGTCCCAGGCAAACACACAGACGCCTGGCTTCCTCACACTGCTTTATTGCAGAATCTGGAAGAGGGCAGGGCTAATCCCACCCCCTCTGCCCATCTCTGGGCAAAATGCAGCTGAAATAAAACGAGAAGACACTCGACAGACACAGCCTGGGCAGCACCTGTACCCCAGAGCCCCTTAACTGGGGGAGCCTCCCCAGGTGCAGCCCAGACAGCCCCCTCCCCGCAGCCCAGGGGACCGGGGTGGGATGGGCCAGGGCTCAAGCCTGAGTACAGTCCATTTGGAGGACTTCCCAGGCTCCTGCAAGACACCTAAAATCTCTGGAGAGTAGTCCAGATTTAAGGGGGCTCTAGGTCCCCAGAGTTCAGGTTTGAAGGGCTGGGGTCTACAGGCCTGATGTGGGGAGTGGGCTTGCTCTGAGAACCCCGACTACGGAGGAGAGGGCTGGGTCCTGGAGTCCAGGTCTGGATTGGGGAGTACCAGTTAGAGGTCGCTGGGGGCAGGGGGAGCCCCATTTGGGGGAAGGGCTGGGTCCCAGAGGGGGTTGCGAAGAGGGGCCGTAGTCCTGGAGCCCTGGTTCTGAAGGCTCAGGGCCCTGCCTGGCTGCAGCCCTGACACAGCACTTGGTCTCCATCCGGCACGAAGCCCTGGCCCACCAGGGACGTGGAGCACCGGGCGCAGGAGAAGCAGCTGTGGTGCCAGTGGCGGTCCTCGAAGGACACATACTTGCCCCCACCGAGTCCTGCAGGGATGCCGGTGTCAGTCCTGCCCCTCAGCCTCCCCCAGCACCACACCCACCCCGCCCTCTGGCTCCTGTCCCACCTGTGATGGGGCGCTTGCAGCTGCTGCACTTAGGTGCAAAGAGTTCTCCAAAACAGGCCACACAGTAGGGGTCATCATCCCGGGAGGTGAACTGCTGCCCTGCCAGGGGCGTCTGGCACCCGGTGCACACCAGGCACTCGCGATGCCAGGGCTGGTCGCGGTACGTCACTCCACCCTGGGTCAGCGTCTGGAGGGGGCAGTGGCCATGGGCAGGGTGAGGCTGAGTGGCCTGCCCACCCCACGACCGGTGTTGCCCAGCCCCACTCCCTGGCCCAGCCCCCACCTTGCTGCAGCGGGCACAGCGAGGAGCAAACTTGTTCTCATAGCAGGGCACGCAGTAGTGAGCACCCTTGTCGGGCACGAAGGAGCGGGAGCCCAGCGGCTGCTCACAGCCGCTGCACAGGAAGCAGTGTTCATGCCACGTCTGGCCTCCGTACTCCAGCTTCCGGGACCCTGTGGGGAACAGCAGTCCTGCTCAGAGGCTGAGCCCCATGCTCCTGAGGGCCACCCGCCCCCGTGCCTCCCCCAGGAGATGCCCACTGCTCCCACTGCTCGCACAGGGTGGCATCCATGCACATGCAGCAGGACCCCCCCACACACTGCAAATGGGAACCTCCCCAAATGCTGGACCCCACGGCTCAGCACATGCTAGGCCCCTAAAGTGGACATGAGGGTTTAGTGTATGATTTAGCTCCCATGTGTCCCAGGTGCGACTTCCTCAGCACACAACAAGACTCCATCTGGGGCCGGCGCTGTGGCGTAGCGGGTAAAGCCGCCGCCTGCAGTTATTGGCATCCCATTTGGGCGCTGGTTTGAGTCCCAGATGCTCCACTTCCAATCCAGCTCTCTGCTATGGCCTGGGAAAGCAGTAGAAGATGGCCCAAGCCCTTGGGCCCCTACACCCATGTGAGAGGACCCAAGAAAGCTCCTGGTTCCTAGCTTCGGATCAGCGCAGCTCCAGCCCTTGCAGCCAATTGGGGAGTGAACCAGCGGATGGAAGACCTCTCTCTCTCTCTCTCTCTCTCTCTGTGTAGCTCTGACTTTCAAATACATAAAATAAATCTTAAAAAAAAAAAAAAAAAGGCGTGATGTCTCTGTAAGCTGAGCTATGGTGGTTTCAGCATCCTCATGAGACCCTACACATGCAAGGCAAGCAAGTCTGCCCACACCAGTTCTAAAGCCCTGGGTGTGATAGGTTCCATACATGCTAAGTCCTCTGTCTCCTGGGCACATCACTCTCCACATGTGCCAAGTCCCCAGGTACCTATCAGGTATGCATTCCCACACATACTACACCCTCTGCGTGCACCAGACCCCAGTGCACCCAGCATGAAAGTCTCAGCACACCCTTAGCTCCTGCATGTACCGGACATGCAAGTCTTCATCCGTGCTGTTCCACCACGGGTGTAGAGGCCACCTGGCCCGGCGCACAGTCCCATCCTCAGCACCGTACCAGGCTTGCTTGTCTTGGCCTCAGCATACCGATGCCCATGCATGCTGAGGTCCCAAGAGCGTGTAAGCACAACAGGTGGTGCGCACACTGAATTTCCACCCCATGCTGCACGTGCAGGCCTTCACACACGCCTGGCCTCTGGGGATGCCCCAGCACAGGCACAGGCCCTCCACGAACGCCAGTTCTGCCACGGGCGGAGTCGCCGGGGACGTACCAGGCATGACGGTCTCCCCACAGGCGGAGCACTGCGAGGAAAAGGCACTGCAGTAGCAGTCGTTACAGAGCAGCTCGCTGTCCTGGCACGTGAAGGGCTCGTCGGCGAGCGAGCGCTGGCAGCGGCCACAGCGGAAGCAGCCCTCGTGGAAGTGGCGGTCTTCATAGAACAGCTCCTGCGAGGGGCGGGGCAGGCAGGGGGTGCTGGCACTGCGGCCCTCTGCCCCCTCCCGCCACCCTCTGCCTGCTCCCTGCCCTGCCCTGCTCGGGTCCTTACCCTTGAGTCATGCCCAATAAGCTGCTGGCACTCAGCACAGGTGTTGGCGAAGGTGTTGTCATAGCAGGGCACGCAGTAGGGGCCGCTGTCTGTCTGGATGTACTTGCGGCCATACAGGGACTCGCTGCACTTGGCACAGTCGAATGCCTCGCTCATGGTGGTGACAAGAGTCAGCCCTGCCGGGAGCACATGCAGACCCGCAGTCACCCGGAGGGGCTGTGGCTTAGCCCCTGGCAAGCATTCTTTGCATTCACAAAAGAGCAAGAGACCAGGCATAGGAAATGCCAGGTTGCAGCAGGTGGGGATGGGGCAGGGGGGGGCTTCTGGAAACCGTGGAGGCTTGCAGGTTTATTTCTGTAGTGAACAGTTGGGGTAGGAAGGGGTCAGGAAAAAACCAGGAAGCAGAAGTTGTTTTCTTATCGAGGCTGGAGCAGATCTTGGGGGAGGGGGCTTTTCCTGGGTCAGTGACTCATTTCCTGCCCCAGCCTGAGCTTAACCGCCACTGTCCCTACTGTCCCCGGGGTGGCAGGAGCAGGGGCAAGGGCAGGCGCCACCCCACCCTTCCCCATATATGAACAGCATTCCTGCCTTCTCTGGACTCCCTGGAAGGGAGTGAGGGGCTGGAACAGAGGGATTTTTACCCAGAGCTCCGAAGTGGGGAGCACAGGGACAGGAATGGGTTGTTCCTGCCCCCTCCCGATCCAGGAAACGGTGGAATGCTAGAGGGATGCTAAAGCGACACCGGGCGGGCGGGCGGAGGAGGGAGGCCGGAGTGAGAAGCTGAACCTCCCGTCCCAGGAGAATCAGCAGAGCAGCCAGAGCTGGAGAGGCTCAGGCTGGGCTGGAGCAGGAAGGAAATCCTGCACGTTGGACACGGCCGAGCTTCCCCGGCTGGGCCCTCTGCCCTCCTTCCCCTCCACCCCGCTGTGTCTCTGGTCACACCAGCCTGGGCAGCCTTGGCTGCAACATCTGCAGCAGCTGTGGCAACACAGATGGCCAGATGTCAGATTTGCCAGCGACAGGGGAGAAAAAAGGAAAAAGCTATGCCTGCGGCGGCTGCGGGTCCCCAGGGACAGAGAGCAGTGTGGCCTCTGCCACCTCCTGCTGGGCACCAGCACAGCCCCAGGAGCTTCCCTTCTTCTGGGTCCCGATTTCGTTCCTCCTGACTCCGGTGGGGGTAGCCTCGCCCCACTTTCTTGGATTTCTCGGGGTTGGGGCAGGCGGGCATGAAGGGTGAGAGACCCAGCGCCCCTGGAGCCACTCTCCCCAGGCAGGGCCCCTCGTAGGTGCGGAGGAAGACCAGGGGGAGCCCTGAGAGCCGCTGCTGCAGACACCCAGCCCCCAGCAAACCTCAGACACTTTCCATTTTCTCAGGAACAAAGCATGTTTGTGGGATGAGGTCATCCACACAGCTGCCTCTGGAACAGGAGTGTGGGGAGCAGGGTGTAGGGAAGTGGGGTTCCCAGCCCCTTCTGTGGCTCGTGATTCCTGTCTCCAGAACCCAGATTAGAGCTTCCCACCCCTGGCCTCCTCCACCAGGAAGTCTGCTCTCTAAGGGCTAAGGTCCCAGGGTGCCAGGGAAGAACCACCAGGACCCCTGGGAAGGGGACAGATGCTCTTTCAGCTGCGGATGAGCCTGGGGAAGTTCAAGAGACACAAAGGAACCCACCACCCCACTCCCCTCCACCAGACCCCAGAGCCTGCCCTGGCTCAAGCTGAAGGAAAAGCCCTCCTGTCCCAGCCAGCCCCAGTGGGAAATTCTCGCCAGCAAGCACTGCTCTGGCCTGGAGCTCTGACTCCAGGCGCCAGCAGATGCCCCAGGGCTGGAGGGCCTGACTCCTCCGATGGGCTGGCTTCCGTGTTCCGGACTTCCCTTCTACACCATGGGAGGACACCGAGTTCGTACCTCAGGCCACGGTGTGAGGCCGACAGGAGCTGGGGTATTCAGAGCACGGACTCCTGGGATCGGAGTTATGCTCCAGGGTGGAGGGCAGCCCTCCTTCAGTCCCCTGCCGGCCACTCAGGCTCGGGTTTCCTCCTGAGGATTGCCTGGGCTGGCAGCCACTGGGCAGCAGGGGGCCCCGCAGGTGGAAAGTGGCCATGTGTCCCTCCAGGAGTGCCTGGGGCCTTTTCCTTCCTTCCTGGCTGGGCCAGCAGTGGCAGCAGTAGCGGCTACCTTCCCAGGCCCTGGCTAGCCCCGGGTCCGCCCCCTGGGAGGCAGTCACCACTCTGAGACGGGGCACCCCAAATAGGGTATGGGAGTGGCTTCTGTTTCCTTCCCAGACTCCCCCAATCCCTGAATCTATCCGGCTGGGCCCTGGGGAGGGAGGGCAGAGGGAAGGACACCAGCAAGACCCACCTGTCTCTGCCTGTCCTTCTCTGGCAAGGCTTGGGGGACCGAAAGGACTTGTAGAGAGCCAGTCCTGTATGCTTCCTGACCGGTGGCGGGGAGAGGGGGCAGGGACTGGGGAGACTGCTTCACCTGCCAGATGGCTCTCAGCCTCTGCTCCCAACAATACACACACCCCTCCACCTGACCCAGACACACACACAGCACCTCCTGGGTTTGCACACTGGCTCCTCACTGGCTGCATGACCTTAGGTGAGTTACTCAAGCTCCCAGGCCTGGTTTTCTCTTCTAATTCACTGAGCTCATGCCCCTTCCTACCTCCCAGGGTGCCGGTCCTCGGACAGCACCTGGCAGATGGGCAGAACTCAGTATGGGCAGCTATTTGACTTTGGCTGAGATCAGACGGCAGTTTCTCAGGAACGTCCATGACCTGGACATTCGTGCACAGGGCCATGGGGAGGTCAGGTGGCCCCGCGGCCCATGGGGCTGGCTGAGGACAGCCGTGGGTCCAGTGGTGGCTGCAGCGCCGCCAGCTTGACTCCAGGGAGCAGAACTCGGCCCCTGGCTGGCGACACCTGCCTGCTGCTCTGCCCCTCACAAAGTGCCCCTAGATCACCCTCCAGCGCAGCTCCTGGAAGGCCGGCTACGCAGAATCTCGTCCCCATTTTACAGCTGAGCACACCAAGGACAGGGCAGGAGTGTGCCCAAGGTCCCTCTGGGATCAGAGTCCACGTCCCAGAGCCCCTCCTCATTCCCTCTCCCTAGAAGTGCCATGGTGGTGCTGGAGGAGGTGGTTCAGCTTTTAAGGGCAGAGCAACAGGAGCTGTACCAGGGCCTGGCTCTTCTCCCCAGCTGCCAGCCCTGCCACTGGAAGACACCCAGCGGCCTTTCCAAATACCCGTGCCAACTGCTCAGCCCTTTTGCCCCCCCCCCCCTTCCCCACTGTGCAGGAGGACCCTGGCCAACCCCCACAGCTGTGAGTCAGGCTCAGAACAGCACCCCCCCCCAGGAGTTGACAGGAGACTTAAGGAGAGAAATCAAGGTGCTCCCCCCCCCCCCCCAGCCGCTACCAACTCCAACTTCACTGCTCTCTCTCCTCCTCTTCCCATCTGGCCTGGGAAGTTAAAGCAGTGTAGGGGCAAGGGGGTGGGGAGCAGGATCCCGAAGCAGCTCTGGGACCGGCCTGGCCGGGCCAGGAACAGTTCATTCACCCTGAGGTCCCTACGGCTGAAGCTGCCCGCCCAAGATCTGAGTTTAAAAATAAGCTGGGGCTGTCCTGGCAGCCGTGTCAGTGCGTGGGGCTCCTTCTCGTTCTCGATCTCACCGGCCCGGGTCCCCTGCCTTATGGGGGAGGGCTGGGTTCAGTTCCTTTCCCCAGGGCACCCGTCCGGGTGTCTCAGGGTCTCAGCCAGCTCAGGTCCCTGTGTGTGCTGAGCTGGGCTCCACTCCATCCTGGGTTTGGGGGCTGTCTTTGTGCTCCTCTGGGGTCTCTGTGCCTCCGAATGCTGTTCCCCCGCGGGGTCCTCAACCCTTTGGGCTTCCAACTGTGTGCACCCAAGTCTTTGGTGACTCTTAAAGGACCCTCGCCCCTCTCCTGTCCCGTCCGTTAGCAATCTCTGCCTCATGTCTCTGAAGGGCTCTGTAGCCCTCACACAAACGGACTGAGCGAGAGGCGAAGCCGAAGCTCCAGGGCTCCCCGCAAGGCCCTCGTAATTGTTCACGTCCAGTTTCTGTCCTCGCTTCAGCGATCTCCGTAGCCTCCGGTCCTGCGCCCCACTGGGCTTCCCCGGAGCCTCCGTTCCTCCAACCCTCCCGGTCTGTCTCTGTCTCTCTGGCTTTTCTATTTCAAACTTGGTCCCCTCCCCCGTCCAACACTCGCATTGGCCCCCGCCTCTCCAGGCGGCCGGAGGAGCGGTCCGGCCCCGGCGGGCGCTCTCCGGGGCGCAGCATGCCCGGGGCGGGGGCCGGCAGCTGCGGTTCGGAGCCGGGGTCGGCGGGGCGCTCACCTCGCAGCTGGCGGCGGGAGCCGGACGCGCGCGGAGCGGGTGGGGCCGGGAACCAGGAGCCGCGTCCCTCGGCGCCTCCTACCTGCGGGCCGCGCCGAGCCGGGCGGCGCGAGCTGCCGGCTGCACACGGACCGTGTGGGCGAGTGGGCGCGCGGCCCCAGCCCCGGCGAGGAAGTGCGCGCGGGCCCGCCCCGCCCGGACCCCGCCCCCGGCCCCCGGCCCGAAGGGGGGGTCAGACCCCGCCCCCACCTCCCTCTCCGCCTCGAGCCGCCCAGCCCCCTCCCGCGGCCCCCAACCTGGCTGGCCCGACTGCGGGGCAGTGGGGACCTGCCCCGCCCCCTCCCGCAGCGCTCTGTCTTCTCGCTGCCCCCGGCCCACACCCCGCGAGCCGCCAGCGAGCAGCGGGAGCCTGCAGCAGTCTGTCTCGGGTGAGGGGTGCAGAGCCCTGGCAGCCAGGGCCCATTCTCCGGCTCCCCCGCCCCAGCTTACCCCCAGGAGGTGTGAAGGAGGCCTTAATTCCTTTTGGAGGAGGGAGTGTTTTCGACTCTGTTGTCAAGGCTCTTTCAGCGAGGACCAAGGTGTTCTCTGGAAACGTGGGGCGAAGAGAGGTTCTCCATAAGGCCTTGACCTTCAGAGGGCTTTAGCCCACAACTCTGAGCCACAGGAGCAGGGGTCCCCACCTCCCCACCTCCAGCTGTACCCTGGCACTGAGGAGTCCCGCCACTCCGCGGCGCCCAGGAATAGTGTTGACCTTTGAGGTCCAGGGGAGACCCTAATCCTTGGCCCCAAGATCTTTGGGCTTCTCCCGGACTGACGGGCGCAGCACCGGGGGTGGAGGCGAGGGGCGGGAACCTCTGCAGTTTCTGACCCTCTGGCTTCTTCTCTGTGCCTGAGAGGGAGGACTGGCGCCTGCCAGGGACACGAGGCCCCTGCAGGTCCTTGAGGCCACCCCCCCTGGGATCCTCAGGGCTTGTCGCTAGGAATAAATAGACTCAGCTTGGAAGGGAGGGGCGGGGGAGAGGAGGCTCTGCTGTGCTGTTTGCAAAACAAGAGACAACAAACCAAGCCTGGGAATAACCTCAGCATCTGGGGTGGAGATGCAGGTGCCCCCAACGGCTCCCCACACCCAGACTGGGTCCAGCGGAGTTCCACAGCAGGGGCAACACCTCGCAGAGCTGGGGCTCCAAGGACCCGCCCCTTCCATCTCTGCACCACAGGCCTGGGTTCCTGGCTCCCAAGTTGGCCTTGAGGCCAGATTTCCCTTCAAAATTAAATAATCGCTTGTTTATTGTCACTGTTGCCATAAGGGCAAGGACTGGGTCCTTTTTGTTCACTGTTGCAGTGCCCGCTGCAGTGTCTGGCACCTAACAGATACCTGATGAATGGCAGACTCTGTTTCAATTCGAACCCTTCTTCCCCCATCCAGTTTGGACCCCTGACACCTGTTATCTGGAGTCCAGGGAGTAAGCAGCCAGCTAGTGGGTGAGCCCTTTGGGATTGCTTTTGTAAGTACTCCTCCCAGCCCTGGAAGTGCAGGGCAGACTGCTTGTTTGAGACAGACAGGAAGAGGGGCGTCTATACCTGGGGTGAGGGGAGGGCAGAAAGGGAGGGTTACTCATTGCAGGAGGTGGATAAAAAGAGGGGCACTGGGCCCTCTGTTCTTCACTCCTGGTTTAAATCCCCGCTGACGGCCGGTGCCGAGGTTCACTTGGCTAATCCTCCGCCTGCGGCGCCGGCACCCCGGGTTCTAGTCCCGGTCAGGGCGCCGGATTCTGTCTCAGTTGCTCCTCTTCCAGTCCAGCTCTCTGCTGTGGCCCGGGAAGGCAGTGGAGGATGGCCCAGGTCCTTGGGCCCTGCACCCGCATGGGAGACCAGGAGGAAGTGCCTGGCTCCTGGCTTCGGATCAGCGCGGTGCGCTGGCCGCAGCGGCCATTGGGGGGTGAACCAACGGAAAAGGAAGACCTTTCTCTCTCTCTCTCTCACTGTCCACTCTGCCTGTCCAAAAAAAAAAAAAAAAAAATCCCTGCTGACTAGCCTTAATGAGAGCCAACGTTTCCTGAGTTCTTCCCTTGCCCCAGTCCCTGAACACTACATAGATCCATGCACTTGGTTATCTAACAGCTTTATGACATATTTGTATCCCTGCTTTAAAGTGGAGAAAATGGAGACACAGCGATTAAGTAAGGGTCACACAGCTAATAATGGCAAAGCTGGGATTCGGATCCACACAGTCAGTGTGAAGCCCCTTGTGCCGAAAAGGAGCCTAACCATTGGGCTCCACAGCAGCTGTAGCCATGCAACCTCTGAATCTCTGCCTCCTCATGTGTTGCCTGCCCAGGCACCGTTGGGAGAACTGGACAAGAGCACACGCTAGGGCCCACCCGCCCCCATCCCCTGTCATGGTCAAGTGTTAACAGTCTGCTGCTTGGACTTGGAGTCTGGAAGACAGAAAAAGTTAGTTTTTTGGCTTAGGCCGGCCTGGGGCAGAGAGACTGGCCGGGCAGAGGGGCTGTGTCCTCTCCCTTCTGCGTTTCCAGCTCCCAAGTAGGCTCACATTTCCCAGTTCACTTTATTTCTGTTGGCCCGGGAGGATGTGCCCCAGGGAGCCTAGAGGATCAGCCACACGGACTCCCTGTTCTTGTTCCTCATCTGTCCTCTCCTGGCCCTGAGAAACAGGTGTGTCTGAGCCAGGGCTGGAAGCAGAGGCTGAGTGCTGAGCGCTGGGCCTCGGGGCAGTGGGATCTCCGCTGTCCCCTCACCCACCCAGGAGGTTCCCGCACGCCCTGTCTGATGTCATGCTCAGGGTCCCCAGCTGGTCTCTCCCTTGCGGGGGTTTTCACAAGGAGGCCCTCGGTGACCACTGACAGGCCTGTCCTGGATTCCTCTGGGTGCTGAATCACTCTCGGATGCCTGTAACCACAAGCCCGCTTTCCTCCTGCTGGGCGAATATCCTTCCTCCTCTGGGTGTGTTGCTCACTCTTACCACTGCCTGGGCCCTGCAGGCCTCGGGGCTTAGCAGACACCCTCTTTTAGACTGCCCAGACAGCTTCCTTGTGACCTGGCGTCCAACAGGAGCCCTGTGGGTGGAGAGGGTGAAACGAGTGACCGTCACGGGGAGAGGCAAAACGCACGTGCTGAAATGCTGACTGTGTGGGCCGGGGGCCATGGGAAGACCGGTCATGACCTGTTTCAGTCTTCACAGACACCGTGCAGGGGATCACTGTCGTCAGGGCCGTTTTTCCAGAGGCTCCAAACCGCAAGCCAGTAGGTGGAAGATGTGCAATTCTGACAGGGACTGGCTTCAGGGCCCCTCTTCCGGCGAGGAGCCGGCTTCTCTGGGCTTTGCTGGTCACTCAGCGTCAGCTTCAGGGCCAGTGGCAGGAGCGTTGGGGTTGCCACCTGCTCACTCTGCCTCTTGGCTGAGCTTTTTGGTTGAGATGAGACTGGGGAAGTGGGCACGGGCTAGATTACGAAAGGCCCTGTCTTCCAATGGGAAGTGACAAACGAGATGGAATTTTGTTAGTGCACTGTGGCCCTGGTTGGCCAAGTCTAAACCTCCGAGGCAGGAGAAAGCCTTTTATCCAGATTTCAGCCGCTCTGGGCTCTGTCGCCTCGACCACCTGACTGGGCTGGCACCTGCAGGCGCCGAGGAGAGGAGTTCCCCAGAGCCCCTCAGCGGGGTGACCTCCATCCTGAGACAGAACCCACTGAGGATCCAGCGTCATGTGGTGTCCTGGAAGAGAAGACAAATGCCCCGGGAATGCTCTCTGTCCAACCCTCTCTCCAGCCTTCGAGCCAGGTTTAGTAGTAACAACAGTAGCAGGTCTGTTTTATTGTGAACACAGCATTGAGCGATTTAAACATATTGCATTTGATCCTCACAGCGGTC